CAGTAGTGCCAACTCCAGTACCCCCAGCAGCACCAGCTCCAGCCGCACCGTCAGCTCCAGCACCTGCAGGAGGACGAGCGTCAGCACCCCCAGCTCCAGCCCCTGCAACACCAACACCAGGGTCAGCAGCTACACCAACTCCAGCAGGCCCAGCGGCCTCAGTTCCACCGGCAGCTCCAGCAGCTCCAGCACCTCCAGCTCCAACTCTAGCACCAGCAGCACCTCCAGCAGCTCCAGCACCAGCAGCACCTCCAGCAGCTCCAGCACTAGCAGAACCTCTAGTAGCACCAGCTCCAGCAGCTCCAGCTCCAGCTCTAGCCGAACCCCCAGTCCCAGCAGCTACAGGACCACCTGGACGAGCACCTCCAGGACGAGAGGCTCTAGTACCTCCAGCAGCACCAGGGCCTCCAGTGGGTGGCACCCCAGCGCTAGGAGCGCCGCTCCGGAGGCTGCAGCGTCGAGCGTACCACTCACGCAGCCGCTGTGGGGAGGGAGGCTTCGGCCGCGACACAGCACCCGCAGCACCACCAGCTCCAACTCCAGCAGAACCCCCAGCTCCAGTAGCCCCATGCTGGAGGCTGCAACGCTGAGAGTACCACTCACGCAGCTGCTGTGAAGAGGGAGCGCCAGCAGGCGCAGCACGGTCAGTCTCAGCTCCCCCAGGCTCAGCACCGCCAGTCTCAGCACCCTCTGGCTGAACACCCCCAGTCTCAGCACCCCTAGGCTCAGCACCCCCAGTCTCAGCACCCCCAGACTCAGCATCCCCAGTCTCAGCACCCCCAAACGCAGTACCTCGCGCAGGACCAGAGTCGACAGCTACCTCAACAGGCTCGACCGGGTCTACCTGGGAAACACCTGAGGGAGCAGGACCCTGGGGAGGGAGGGGGTCTACCGAAGCAGCACCTGGCGTGAGGAAGAGCGGCGGAGGGGGGAGCAGGGTAGTACGGTAGGGGAAGAGACGGTAAAAGGGGACCGACTTGTCAAACGTGACGTCCTGAGAGGGCAAGACACGGCGCGAGGTGGGGTGGTAAAACTGCCAGCCAGGCGCGTCAGGGAGAAAGCCAAGGAAGACACAGGGAACGGCACGGGAGGAGAGCTTGTCCGCGGACGTATCGCGAACAAAGGCTCGACATCCCCAGACCCGGAACACCCACGCATCGCCAACGCGTCCCCGTCCAACGCAGTGTGGGCGAGGTCTCCGGAGCAAAGACACGGGGCCAGAGGTTGAGCTGATGCGCAACGTACTGCACTGCAAATGACCTTAGGAAATGGGGGGCAGCCGCATGGATCGTGGAAGTACGAGCAACCTCCATGACTAAGCCAATGCGGCGCTCAGCAACCCCATTCTGCTGTGGAGAGGCCGGAACTGTGAACGTCTGGCGGATGCCGTGCTCCGCACAGTAGGCTACCAAGAGGTCGGAGGAAAACTCACCACCCCTGTCAGAGTGCAGACGCGGGACAGGAAAGTCCGAATGGAACCGCTCGCGGAGCTGGAGACGAGCAGCGCGGATCCTAGGGATCAAAACATCAGGGACCTCACCCTTGGTGCGCAAGGGGAAGACCGTGGTATAGCGCATGTAGTCGTCGACGACCAGCAGGAAGTACCGCTCGTGGCCCTGTCCACGGACGCGGGCTGGGCCCCACACGTCTAGGTGGAGAGTCTGCAGGGGAGCCTCTGTGGGGGGGAACGAGGAGGAGTGAGGAGTGGTCTGGTGTGACAGGGTGCGACACGAGCAGGGGGCGGACAACTGACCTCACGCAGACGCAGACGCCGCTACCCGAGGGGACTCAGTGGTCAGAGTGTACAAGTCCAACCACGGCTGCCAAGTGAAGGTAGCTAGGTGACGACCCGTCTGGGCACACGTGCAGTTTGTCACACGCTCGTAGGCAGGGGTGAACTGGTGAACACCCGCGTCCTGGAGCGCAAAACTCGCCACCAAGTTCGTAGAGAACGAGGGTAGGTAAAGGTCCGACAGGGTGCCGGACGGGACAGCAGGACAAGGGAGGGCAGTGGTGGAGGTCGCAAGGACCGGACCCCCGGAGGGGTCAGCCAGGGAGATAGCAACCAGTCTAGGGAGCTGCTCTAGGGCAGTGCGGTCATAAAAGAAACAGCGGGAAGCACCTGGGTCCAGTGTGAAGGTGTGCAGTGCCTTAGTAGACGTAGTACCTGAAGGCGCAGACTCACAAGCACCTGAAGCAACAGACTCACAAGCGCTTAGAGCAGCAGCCTCACCTGCACCTGGAGTAGCAGACTGGTTACCGGGGTCAGGCGGCACACACAGGTGACAAGCTCCTTCGGCACTAGTAGACAATGCATATATTGCAGTGAGAATAGCATCATAGTCAAGAGCAAAGATATCTACCCTCTGCCTAAGCAGCTCCACCCAGTCGAGGAGCTCAGCGTCGTCGCCAAACTGTGTACGCCAAGCGTCGCTCAGACTGGCAAAGCAGCGAGACTCTGTGTGACCAGGCATCCCGCAAGGCTGACCAGTCCAGACACCCATGCTAGCAACGTACGGGCAGCGAGCAGTACTCAACGACCCTCTACTCTGAGCGTACCACTCACGAAGCTGCTAGGGCGAACGAGTCTCGCGCAGACGACGCTGGTGCTGCACCGGGCCACTACAAGAAACTCCCGAACTACCCACTCCAGGACGACTCCCACTACTACCACACCGACAACCCCAACTGACGTACCACTCACGAAGCTGCTGGGGCGTGAGGGACACACGCAGACAGCCCTAGAGCTGCATCTGGCCACTCCAGGAGCAGCAGTAGAGCAGCAGGAGCAGCAGTAGCAGTAGCAGCAGCAGTAAAAGCAGTAGCAGCACGGGCAGGGCAGTGCTTTCCAGTGGTGGGAAGGGCAGGCGCACGACGGAGGCGACTGCGGGGCCGCTACAGCGGCAGGGGGGGGCCGCGACCGCGGCAGGGAGCTCCGCGGCAGTTGCTGCAGGGCAGGACCGGGCTGCGACGGCAGCTGCTACAGGGGCGGCTGCTCCAGGGGCCAGGGGCGGCTGATGCAGTGGCAGCTGCTCCAGGGGCGGCTGCTCCAGAGGCCAGGGGAGGCTCCTGCAGTGGCGGCTGCTCCAGTGGCAAGGGGCGGCTGCTGCAGGGGCGGCCGCTCCAGGGGCCAGGGGAGGCTGCAGGTGCGGCTGCTCCAAGGTCAGGGGCGGCTGCTGCAGTGGCGGCTGCTCCAGGGGCGCCTGCTCTAGGGGCCAGGCGCGGGGTAGGGCAGGGCGACACGGCGGGCAGGGGCGACGCCGCGGGCAGGGGCGACGCGGCGGGCAGGGCGACGCGGCGGGCAGGGGCCGACGCGGCGGGGAGTGCGATGCGGCGGGCAGGGCGACGCGGCGGGCAGGGTGACGCGGCGGGCAGGGGGCGACGACGCGTCAGCAGCTGGGCGTGGCCGCGTCAGTAGCAGGGCGCGGCCACGTCAGTAGAAGGGCACGGCCGCGTCACCAGAAGGGCGCGGCCACGTCAGCTGCAGGGCTGGCGGGGCCGCGTCACGGCACGGCGGGGCCGCGTCCGCGTCGGCGGCAAGGCGGGGCCGCGACCGCTGCAGGGTGGGGCCGCGTCAGCGACAAGGCGAGGCCGCGACTGCGGCCTGACGGGACCGCGACAGCGACCTGACGGGGTCACGCGCTGGCCTGACGGGCTTGCAGAGGCTGCGTGCGGGCGGTGAGGGCCTGCAGGTGCGGCGCGCGGTCAGGCAAAGGCTGCGCGCGGGCGGCGAGGGCCTGCGGGGGCGGCTCAGGGGCTTGACGGGCCTGCAGAGGCGGCTCGGGGGCCTGACGGGCCTGCAGGGGCGGCTCGATGGCCTTACTAGCCTGCAGGGGCGGCGCACTGGCCTAGGGCAGCAGCAGCCAGCGCGAGGGCTGCAGGACGGCGCTCGAGCAGAACGAAGGGCGAGGTGCGCGAGGGCGCACTAGCAGAAAAAAGGCGCACGAGGGCGCACGAGCAGAGAAAGGCGCACGAGGGCGCACGTAAGGTAGGGCGAAGAGGGCGCTTCTAGCGGAATAATGGGCCCGTAGTAGTAAGCGGTCCTAGGTGGCAACCTAGGCTCGTGATACCATGTCAGAATCAACAAGGGTGATTGAACTAGGAAAGAGTCGGGTACAAGTAGGAAACCCTAAACTTACTGTACCCCATAGTAACTACCCCACTACAGCCTAAACAAACTGTAGCAGATATGACATTTGACAGGTAGCGCTTAAGGAAACACAGCGAGGGAGGCCAGGATTGGACGGTAGGAGGAGAGGTACATGTTAGGACGGTTCTAAGGATCTTGGTAGGGTGTGAGCCATGAGCTTTGAATACCATGTGAGAGAAAAATTGATACACTAAACAATGAGCCAAAAGGCTCTTTAGTACAAGCAATGAGCAAAGGAGAGATGAGAGGGGAGCTTACCCTATTGGCCAATAAGTTGGCCAATGGGTGAGCTTGCTTGTGGCCCAAGCAACCACAAATATGTGTTGGAGGGTACACTAAACAACCCCTCAATTTATAAGAGTGCTACACATCTAAGTCTAGCCTATGCATGTTGTATAAAATATGGGTTTACAACACCCTTACCTCCCTCACACTCTGGCGCCCCGATGCCTTCGGCCTCTTCTCCCTCTCCTCCTCCTCCCCTCTCCACCTTTCCCTTGCCTCCCTCACCATCCACTCGTCTCGCCTCGAAGCCGCACTCACGCCCCTCGCCTCGCTCCCCAACCTCGCCTCCCTCGCCTTCCACTCCTGCAGCATCGATCCTTGTGAGCTGCATGCTCTCTCTCACTCCCTCCATAGTCTCACCCACCTCGCCATCCACGATTGTCCCTTAGTCTCCAGTCATTCCCTCGCCGCCTTGGCTGAAACCAACCCTGCTCTCTCCTCCCTCTCCCTCCACTCCACCTCCTACCCCCTGTTCACAGCGCAAGGGCATCAGAATCTGCTCCGTTATTCCTCCTCCCGCCTGCACACCTTCTCTCTTTCGGAGCTGCCCTCGTAACGCCCCGGCATGCTTGCACGCTGCGGCAGCTTGAAGCATCTCACGCTGAAAGGAAAAGGGGAGGCCAGAGAGAGTATATCGCCTTCTAAGTCGCCGCAGAAGCCGTCTTTAGAGTGCCGGGTGGCCATGCTGGTGTGCGTGGAACAGCAGGGGGTCGTTGGAGCGGAGAGTCGGGAAGGGGAGGACAGAGGGGGAGGAGGAACAGATGTGTCCGATGCGGCACCAGCAGCAGCAGCAGAAACACCAGAAGAAACAACAGCTGAAGGAGCCACGCCGATAGCCACCCAAGAGGGGATGAGGGGCAAAAGGAACCGGCGGTACTACCTGGATATCTGTACGGAAGCAGCAGCAGCATGCTCTGACTCCGTCGCCGCAATTGACGAGTCAAAGTCCGTGCTGACGACAGGTCAGTGGAAGCTGAGGAAAGCAGCTGAGGAAGCCCTGCAGACTCTCCACACGCACGGGGAGTTGGCCCTCGCGAGCATCCGGCATGCGGTCATTGAGGTGCGGGCGGCCATGTCTCTGTGCCGGTGCATGTGGCTTGCTATGGTCCACCTGGACGGCAGGGTTGTACGTGACAAGGCAATGGCAAAGGTCTGCTCCACTGCTGAGTCTGCTGGGTTCTTCACTGCAGCATTGGACCACGAGAGAGAGGAGGCAGAACGGGAGAGGGAGGGGCGGGGTGGAGGAGGAGGGACGGAGGTGGAAGAGCTGGTGGGGTTCGTCCCTGAGAGCAAGCTGCCAGCTGATCTGGCGGAGGTGAGTGAGACGCTCTGGGGGAGCAGACGGGTATTTGGCCGGCGTTTGTGGCGGTGTTGCGAGCAGAGGCGCGGGCGCTACTGCATGCTCTAACGGAGCAGCTGGTGACGCATATGGAGGCCATGGGTGATGCCTTCGAGCCCGCTCTGCCACTACTGCCTGAGGCAGTGGTGCCAGGGGCAGTGGCACCAAGGGCAGCAGCAAAAGGTGCAGTGACAGAAAAGGCAGCAGGAGATGGGTCGGCAGCACAAGGGGCAGCAGCAGAAGGGGCAGCATCAGAAGGGGCAACTGCCGCAAAAAAGGAAGCAGGCGGGATGGTGGGAGAGGGTTTGAGAAGAGCAAGAACATTAGAGCAGCTGCGAGGGGCAGAGGCAGGAGGAGGTCGGGTAGACGACGAGCAACTGGGCGGCAGAAACCCAACTCACACACTCCCAAAGGAGAGCACACCCCTGAATGGGAACACACTCCCAAATGGGAGCTCACTTGGAAATATGAGCACTCTCGCGACTCCTGTGGAGGTGTACTGCCCTCCACTGGAATATCTGACCCTTAAGAGCATTCACTTCGCTTCCACTCGTGACCCTTCCTAGTTGTCTTATCCCTTCCCCTCTGCCTCACCCCGCATGTGCCCCTCTCCCCCCATCACACCCCTCCCTTCCCTTCATTCATCCTCCTCCCCCTATCCTGTCCCAAGAAATCCGAGTAGCGAGCCACATTCCTTCAAATCCCTGGCAAGAGCTGCTGTGTTTGCAAGGCTCAAGAGCTTGGCGCTCGTGAACTCCTATGGGGTGGGGGAGGGGCAGCTGGTGAGGCTGCTCAGTGCATGCGGCATGCTGGAGGACCTGCGGGTGGAAGGCAGTGACGGGTTCTCAGATGCCATCATAGCACAGAGTAAATCGGAGTTGCTGACTCGGTTGACTGTGGTGGAGTGCGGTGGAATCACTGCAGGCGGCATTGGAGGGTTGTTGGGGAATGTGCCAAGGCTGCGGTATTTGAAGGTGGAGGTGAGTAAGGTTTCTGACAGGGCTCGGAAGGAGTTGCTTCGTGCAGGAGTGGCTGTTAGGGGTGTGTGAGATTGAATTCTTGGGGAATGTTGCTTTCTCAATGCTTGTTTTGCTCACAACAAGACAATCTCTAGGATGTCTGTTTGTAAGCACTTCATGATCCAGTTGGGTTCAACTATTTGTGAAGTGTGCATCTGTATGATAGGAACAAGAATGTATCTTGAGAAAAACCAAATCTACATGGTAGGAAGGTTTAGATAATTTATGTACCGGTATGCCAAAAATCTTACACCCATGCATTCGTACTATATACACCCAAGCCTAGACAGAAGTGCCTCATCCTCTAGTGCCCAACTAATGCACCACTCACCCCCTTACACTGTACCAGTATACCTTCAACCCGCAATCGCCCTATCCGCTAATGCTCCATCCACTACTAGAGCGCCCATCTACGGCCAAGGTTGGGTGACAAGCCTCATCTACGGCCACGGGTGAACGTAGAACCCGGCTTGTCTCAGTTCAGTGAGCAGCTATGTCGTGTGTCGTGTCGTCAAGCGTGTGATTGAACCTATCTGTCCACGTGAAAGGGGTGGTGGTAGGGCCATAGACATGTCGTCCACTACTACCTCCCCACCAATCTAGGGCCACATATTCACGTAAAAACCGCCAATGTACGGCCATGGGTGAACATAGTGTTGCGATCAGAAGTTGATTGTAGCCACGATCACCTCAGGAAGGTTCGCACACTACTGATTTAGTGGTGGTGGGCCCTTGACCTCAATAGCAGAGTGAATGTAAATGCTTGAGACAATAAAAACATGCAAGTACAACACTATAAATAAGAATACAGGGGAATACCAATCGACCTAGTTAGCAATGTACTCCAAGGGGTACATTCCCTTACTATAGCGAAACTCAACCGTGCGACTCCAGATAGTTACGAAACTGTTTGGGCAGAATCCTCGCCACTGCTGCTGCTTGATGCTGCCTGCCCGACGGTCTAGATGCTTTTGTAATTGTACGACCCTTCGCATCGCTTCCGCCCTTTCGACTTCAACCTCGGTAGTGGGTGCTTCGCTTGCTGCGGTGAAGAGTGCACAATGATGTTTCAATAATTACTACTCGTAACACCCCCCTTCACTCGTGGCCGTAGCAGGTCTTGACCCGCTTGACTACTCCGCTGAGTTCGGAACAGTGCTGGTACTGCTGACGCGGCAGTTTCTTCGTGAGGAAGTCTGCTACCATGTCACCCGTCGGGCAGTAGGTTAGGTTAACCTTGCCCTTGTCAACTTCGTCCTTGACGAAGAAGTACCGCAGCGCGATATGCTTGGTGTGGTTGACGAAACCAGGTTTGTTCGCGATTCTGATTGCGCTCTGGTTCTCGCAGTGCAGGCGAAGGTTTGCAAAGGCCGGATTTTTTGCCTCTTGCAGCATTTCCTGAAGGTAGAGACCTTCGCGAACAGCTGCTGTCGTTGCGATGAACTCCGCTTCTGCCGATGACAGGGCAACCAGCTCCTGTTTTTGTGAATTCCACGAGATGGGGCCGCTAGGCTCGAGGCGGAAGAGGAAGCCTGTCCTGGACCGTCGATTATCAGGATCGGCGGCATGATCAGCGTCCACGTAGCTGATGAGGTTGAAGGATGCGGTTGGGATGGTGGAGTAGCAGAGCCCAACATTGGGCGTGGAGATGAAGAATTGGACTGCTCGCTGAAGATCTGTGAGGTTTTCAGCCGCTGGTTTGCGTGAATACTGAGCCAGCTGACTTGCGATGTACGAGAGATCTGGCCTACAGGTGACAGAGGCGAAAAAGCAGGCAACCCAGTTGCTGCTGGTAAGTCTGAAGCCCAGCTGGGGATAGGGCTTTGTTGTCAGGCTTATGGTTGGGTCTTGGGGTGCGGTAAGGGGTGGAGAGCGGTGCAAGTGCAATGTTGAAGCGCTTGCCAAGTTCCTCTGCGTACTTGGCTGCTGAGAGATGAATGGCATCTGGCAAGTAGGTGATGTTGAGGCCAAGGAACTGCTTCACGTCGTGGTTGTAGGTGAAGTCGACGCGCCCCGCGAGATTTTTCTCAAACTTCTTGAGTAACTCGGTGCTTGACCTTGTGTAAAGGAGGTTGTCGACGTAGACCGTGAGCAAGATGTATTTGCCGCGGAAGTCACGGCGGTACATCCCTGGGTCGTGAGGCAGCTGCTTGAACCCAATTTCAAGTTGAATGTTGTGCACGTACTGCTGCCAGAGCCTCGGCGCCTGTTTAATCCCGCAAAGGGATTTCCGCAGCTGGCAAACGCGCGAATCCCCTTCGCCATATGTGTGTGGCTGCTCCACGTAGATCACAGCATCCACTAATGCATACAGGAACGCATTCTTCACGTCGATTTGTCGGAGCGGCAGATGCCGTACAGCAGCGACGGCGAGGAGAATTCTGACGGAGGTATGACGGCTCACCAGCGCAAACGTTTGATCAAAGTCAATCCCGTGCCTCTGGTCGTAGCCGCGCACTACCAAGCGCGCCTTAAACCGCTTGATCGTGCCGTCAGCTGCGGTCTTCACGCAGAAGACCCATTTCCTAAACAGAATCCTCCTCCCCTTGATCGTCGCTCGATCGATGAGCACCTAGGTGTCACAGGATGCAAGTGCCTTGATTTCCGCATCCATTGCTTCCCGCCACTCCTTGCTGTAAGGTCCCGTGAGTGCTTGACGTGGGTTTTTCGGCACAATGACACGTAGCACCGTTGAGGTGGCAGTGTGGAGCCCGAGGAGTTGGAGTCCGGTGATGGTGCTGTCGTGGCGGTGCTGTGGGGTGACTTTATGCACGTCGTCGTCTTCGCTCTCAAGCTCAGGCGGTGCTGGTGGTGCTGCGCCTCCGCCGCCTCCGCCGCCTCCGCCTCTGGTTCTGCTTTCGCCTCCTGTTCCTCCTCCAGGGGAATCGTCGTCGTCGTTGACATCATCGTTGTTGTTGCAATCACCTCTCGTGAACTCGCCTCTGGGGTCCTACTCTAGAATTGCTGCTGCGGCTTCGTCCTCAGGTGAGGCATAGCTGTGGCCGTCGCTGGCGTAGACGCGATTCGCGTTCGCCTGCTCGTCCTCACGGAATTGTCGAAGGTAGAGCTGCTCGTAGAATATCACATCGCGCGCGTTCTTGATTTTCTGACTCAAGAGGTCCAGGATGAGCCATGCCTTGTGCTCGTGGCTGATGCCGAGGTGGATTCCCCAGCGCGCGCGGCTTGCAAATTTCCCGATGGTTGATGTCGGCAGCGGGTACTGCACCATGCACCCCCACACGCAGACCATGGAGGTGTCGCCCTTGGTCCCCGTCCACTTCACGTGAGGGGATAGGTTACCAGTGATTGCAGTGGTTGACAACAGGTTGTGCACCCGCACGGCATGGTGCATCGCGTACGTCGAGTAAATCCGCGGAAGCTTCGACTGCTTCACGAGCGCACGCACCTTCGTCATGAGCGTGTGGTTAGTACGCGTAGCCACGTTCTGCTACTGATGCGCGTAGGGGAGAGAGATGTGGTGTTCGATCCCCTTCTGCGTGAGGTAATCCTGCAGCTCCTTGCCCTGAACTCCGCTGCGCCGTCAGACTGCCAGATCTTTAACTTCTCCCCAGACTGCTGCTGCGCGTGTGCCAGCCAGAGGCGAAACGCCTCGTATGCTCTGCTGCGTGCTTCCGCGTTTACAGTTCGACCCACACGTAGCGCGTTCCGGCGTCGATGAAGGTGAGCGTGTAGAGTTCGTCGCTGATGCCGCAGTGTCCCACGTTGAGAAAGTCGCTGTAGACCTTCTCCAGTTTGGTGTAGCGGTTGGTTCCGGGCTCTAGTAGGGGGAATGGCTGGTGGCTCAGTGCGGCTTCGGGGCAGACGGTGCAGTTGCGTGGATGTGCCGTGCCCTGTACTTCGGTGCCATCAGGGCGCAGGAGTGCGCCAGGCGCGAATACGCCGGCCTCAATGCAGTTCTTCAGAGTCGCGCGCGAGGGGTGACCTAGGCACTGGTCCTTGATGGCATCGTCAGCGCAGAATCCGGAGGTGTGCATGTAGCGCGCGAGTGCTTCTGCGGGATCCTCGTCAGGTGCTTGAGCAGGTGCCGCCGCTGCTTCTTCAGCTTCTTCTTCTCCGTTTGCCGTTGTTAACATTAGCGCAAGGAATTCCGTGTCAAGGATAATGGAGAGGGGAATATTGGTTCCAGGGATGGTTCCCGGGAAGAAGGTGGGTTCGCGCGGCTCGGGGGCAGGCCCGTAGACGGTGCATCGCGGGGTTGATTGCTCGTTCCCCCAGTCGATGGTGTCCCAAGGGTCACTTCCTGGCGGGATGTCAGGTGGGGGCAGTGCGGGTGCAGGGCGGCGCGGAGGTCGACCAAGAGGAACAACAGGAGGTTTGGCCTCAATTTCCCCCTCAATTTCTTCTCCTCCCCCCCTTTGTTCCTCGCGGAAAACTCCCCAGCCGCTCGTCTCGCCGCCAGATGCAGCACAACATCCGCCGGTGTTGCCGCCGGTGAGTGCTCCCCATCCGCCAGTATCACCGCCAGTGCCGCTCGTGCCCTATCCGCCAGCGTTTCCCCACCCCCCTTCATTGGAGGCGCTCGCTTCTTCCCCCCATCCGCTCCAGGCGAATGTTGTCGGAACTATGTTGTAGGTTGTAGTGGGGCACTCCTTGTGGGGTACAGTATTGTTAGGTTTTGCCTATACAAACCTTGTACTGCTCTGCTTCTAGTCATTCCTCGTTCTGATTCTCACATGGTATTAGAGCAGAATCGTTCCTAGGGCCCACCAAACGTTCCGCCCTACCCTAACTTTTTTTTTTTTTTTTTTTTAAGCTGCCCCTGCAGCCGCACTGCCCTTGCAACCCGCGTGCTGCCTCTGCGACCGTACTGCCCCTGCAGCCATGCCTGCCCCTGCAGCCCGTTAGCGCTGCCTCTGCAACCCGCGTGCCGCCCTGCCGATCCGCATGTCGCCCCTGCAGTTCGTGGGCGCTGCCTCTGCAGCCCACGCGCCGCCCTCCCAAGCCACGCGTAGCCCCTGTAGCCCGTGGGCGCTGCCCCTGCGACCCGCGCGCCGCCCTGCCGAGCCGCA